TAAATGAGTTGAATAAATAAAATAAGTTGAATAAGCTAAATGAGTTGAATAAGTTAAATGGAAAAAAATGTATTGGGTGCACACAGGTGAACAACAGGTAAAAACAGGTGCACACTTGGCTATACTGTATCTGGTGATATGAAATCTGTTTAAATACTTTGACAAAGTATATTTTTTATTTTTTTATGAATATAGTACTCAGAACATGCAGATATCAGATGCTGAATGTAGTTTTTTTGTTTTCGAGCTTGCACCTGACCAGGTAAACTCATTTTCAGTGAGCTGTTATGCATCTATAAATGAGTTGAATCACATTTAAACATCCATAAATGAAGAGTTCAGAGTCTAAGGTTTCCAGAGATACAAATATGTCTGTGTTACAATTAAGTTCATGAGTGTAAAAATCATTTATTATCACTCGTGGAAGTTTGTTTTCTTTTATGCAGTTATGCTCTATGGGTGTAGCCCTAGTAACATATGTATGGGTTGTTCCTAGTAGGCGTCCAGGGGGGAAAGAGTTAAACAAGTCTCTCTCGTAAAATCACTGTCATAAGATAGTTAACATTAGTCAACAGTTTTTCAGGAAGTCACTCTCACTTTTTTGTTGAAAATTCAAACACCTAAACAGGACCATAAATGCTCGCATTGTTCACAGGCTCCTGAAAATGTCCAGTTTAAATCCATGTATTACTTTTTTAGTTTTCAGACTATCTTTACAAACTATTTTTGTCCGTATTTGACACCAAAAACATACCTGGAGTTATGTTTTGTAGTGTCGTCGTACTCGAGACCGGCTTCAAGTTTTTTTGCGGTCTTGGTCTTGTCTCGGACTTGCCCACGTTTGGACTCGGTCTTGTCTTGGTCTTGAAGACGTTTGGACTTTGTCTTGTCTTAGTCTTGAAGGCGCTTGGACTCGGTCTTGTCTCGGTCTTTAAGGCGTTTGAACTCGGTCTTGTCTCAGTCTTGAAGGCACTTGGACTCGGTCTTGTCTCGGTCTTGAAGGCGTTTGAACTCGGTCTTGTCTCGGTCTTGAAGGCGTTTGGACTTTGTCTTGTTTTGGTCTTGAAGGCACTTGGACTCGGTCTTGTCTCGGTCTTGAAGGCGCTTGGACTTTGTCTTGTTTTGGTCTTGAAGGCACTTGGACTCGGTCTTGTCTCGGTCTTGAAGGCGTTTGGACTTTGTCTTGTTTTGGTCTTGAAGGCACTTGGACTCGGTCTTGTCCCGGTCTTGAAGGCACTTGGACTCGGTCTTGTCCCGGTCTTGAAGGCACTTGGACTCTGTCTTGTCTCGGTCTTGAAGGCGCTTGGACTTTGTCTTGTTTTGGTCTTGAAGGCACTTGGACTCGGTCTTGTCTCGGTCTTGAAGGCGTTTGGACTTTGTCTTGTTTTGGTCTTGAAGGCACTTGGACTCGGTCTTGTCTCTGTCTTGAAGGCGCTTGGACTCGGTCTTGACTCGGTCTTGAAGGCGCTTGGACTCTGTCTTGTCTCTGTCTTGAAGGCGCTTGGACTCGGTCTTGACTCGGTCTTGAAGGCGCTTGGACTCTGTCTTGTCTCTGTCTTGAAGGCGCTTGGACTCGGTCTTGACTCGGTCTTGAAGGCGCTTGGACTCGGTCTTGTCTCGGTCTCGAGGTCTGACACCTGACCAGGGATAAAATGGAGATAGATTTATAAAAACATTGATATATGTGTGCCAAAATAACTCTAAAATACAAATAGATGTAGAAAATGACAAAGATGGTCTCGATTTGGTCTCGATGAGCCATGGTCTTGGTCTTGTCTTGGTCTCGACCCTCAGAGGTCTTGGTCTTGCCTGGTGTCAGGGCCCTGTGGTCTCATACAGGTCTTGGTCTTGTTTAGTGCGCTCTTGACTACAACGCTAGTGTTTTGCTTTATTCACACATTATTGAGTAACTAACTTTATTATTAGTCTGTTTCCATCTCCAAAAATCAAATTGCTCTGTTCCACCTTGTGATGTCATGAAGTGGTAGTTTTCAACTTCACAGCTACATTTTATCTTTTGTGCAGTAGAGATTAGAAATTCCAGGTCTGAAATGATCCAAATTGTTGTTGATGCGTTTGTTGTTTCACCATGGCAGTCGCTGAACATTACACCAATAGAAACACACGTAGAACATCCCTCTGTGTGACGTCACTGCAAAGTAACTATCGACATTTACACAGACAGTTTGCCGTAGAAAACCATTAACCGGAAGTTCGCAACCTTACTTTGTGGGACGTCCTACTATGGTGAAAAAGGTCCGATACTGTGACTACGTTTATATGATGACGGTCTGAACAGAAGACGCAAACGTGGCGTCGCGGCTTCACTTTTTATTCTGCGTTTAGACGAGCATTTTTGGGAGGTGGTGATGTATGTGACGTAAATGCGCACGCGACGTGAGCAGATCTGACGAGAATTTTGCGTCTTGGGCAGTGTAGACGGAAACGCTACAGCAGAGAGTATTCTTCCTCTGGAGGGTGGTTTCAGATTTTTGCGTTTTTAAGCCCCAAAAACGCCATCACCATCTAAACAAAAGGCAATTCTGATAAAATAGTTTGTCGTTTTTGCCCGCAAGGGTTCTTGTGTAAACAGGCCCTGAATCTCAGACACAACTCTTAACAGTATTTTGACCTCCCTTCGCACTTGATGTTCTGCACACAATACTATAATACAACAAAGCTGTTTTTATTTGGCCGAGGAGACTGGAGACTTTGATTGTAAAAGCATTTGCCTGATGATCCACACGTACTGTTCAGAGCAACTGCAAAATGAGCTGTTTTATCTCCGTCCGATTTATGTCATTTTCAAAATTGCTTCGCCGTCAACAGAACACAATGACAGGCTGGAGGAGCATCAAGGAAATGAAAAATATTAACGGCGCTTTCTATGGGCTCTGAGTCATTTAGAGACACTTTTATTGCTCATTGGAAGAGATTGTCCAGTGCTTCTTACTCAGTCAGAGATGCTTTGGTGTGGGACTGTGTAATGACTTGGAGGTATTGAACTGAAAAGCTGAAAGGAGAAGATCGTATTCAAGGACTGTAATGTTTGTCACAACTTCAAGGGCCCATATTACGCCATTTCCCAATCTGTGTAATAATGTTGTTTTCATTCATATGTTGATCTCACCCTAAATATACAGGATTTGTGTGTTAATCTCACAAAATGAAACTACTACTCTCATAGGCAGAGTTTGAATTTTGCGCTAGGCAGACAAATATTTTAATGTATGCACTAAATTCAAGATTTAAAGTCAGCATTGCCATGTGCACAGTCAGGAAACGTCTTACCCTGTACGATGAAATTATGGCTTTACTGTCCACATTGCTGTGCATTATAACTATTCTGTGATATTACACAGAATAGTTATAATGCTATTACCAGAACTGAACCAGGAGTGTCCCAGAGGTGCGCCCACGTAGATTACCAGGTGACTACAGGAGAAAAGACCGGTGCAGAACTCTGCACCCCATGGGGTTAAACGCAGCCGTCACCCGATCAAGCTTTGCGGACACCCTTCTCCATGGGCTCGGGGTTCTCCCTCTCTCTCAAGTCCAAGATTAGTCCTGGTTGAGTCATGGTTTATTCCTGGTTTAGACCTAATTTAGACCTGGTCTAGTCCTGGTTTAGTCCTGGTTCAGTCCTGGTTCAGACTAGCCTGATTCATCAGTCGGTTTCACTTTGTAGAAACCGCCTGACCTCGCAGCATTAGGATTCATTTGTTTGACAGTAGGCGGGTACTTTTTGTATTTAGCCAATCACTGCTTTTCGGTCATGACGTATGTAATGTGCTGCTAACAGGGCTAATTGATATATTAAGCTTTTCCCAAATCCCGTAAGAAGAAGAGCAATAACGTCTTTCCCCTTGATGAAATTCACCAAACATTTTCTTTGTTTCGGCTTTAAATCCTTGATCTCGGGAATCATTGCCAACACTGAATGTATGGCTCTTCGCTGATTGGCTGATGCCCGAACTCGCACTTCCGGGGGTTTTTGCAAACCGTCTAGTGGAGAGAAATGCAACTGAGCGGAGGCACTAGGTTTTTTTGACATTTAAAATATTAAATATTAAACTCCGCCCATGACTACTCTTGTTCCACCTTGTGATGTGATAATACAGGAAGTGCTCCAATGTGTTTTTGAACTCCATACACTTTCAGTAGAATCATTTGGATAGTTTTAGCCCAGGAACTGTCCATCTCTACTGAACCAAAGGTAAAATATAGCTCTTGAAAAGTACAGCTTCATGACATCAGGAGGTGGAACAGAGCATTTTGAGCTTTGGTGATGATGACAGCCTAAAATGCTGGATTACTCAAACATGTGAATGAAACAAAACACAACTCCAAGTGTGTTTTTGATGAGGTAACAACATTGTAAAGCTCACAAGAATCCATTTAGCGTAATATAGAACCTTTAAGCAGTTGGACTGTGGATAGTAAAGCTGACCCATTTTTCATTTTTGAGCAAAGGAAACTTAAAAGGAACATTCTGGATCACGCCATCACCTGTGACACAGAAGTATGACTTGAAGTTGATGATTGTCCTGAAGCAGCACAGAGCTCTTTGAGGCTGCCTCCATCTGTGTTCCTGCTCGCTCTAAAAATAGATCAAAGGTCTTATTACCTCCACAGGCCATGGAGCTGCTAACTGGCAAATACGTGTCAGCCAGTGCCACATAGTAAACTCACACTCCAGGTTTCTCCTCATAATGGGCTCACGTAAAAATAACACGAAAAGTAGTTTATTACCAAAACCGTCAGATACCCTCTAAAGTAGTCCTATTTTACGTGAAATTGACTCTTATGTCTTTTAAAGCTGCACTATATAACGTTTTGGTTGTGTAAATGATGATAATGTCAGTATATTTGTTTTCATGGTAAAAGTCAGAGAATTATTATTTCATTTGTTCAAATATCAGTGTCAGAACACTACTGTCATTATGTTTTATTTGTAAAAAATACTTACCTTTGAGTCATGTGGCCTTTTACCTTGTCCCGGGAGTTAGCAGAGTGAGAAATAGTAGCTGTGAAAGAGAGGTGTAAAGAAAAGACGTCAAACTTAAAAGAAACGTCATTTAACTACCGCTGGCGATGTATAGGTGAACACGGTAAATATATATTGTTTTGATTTCTGTATTTAACTAAAGGTATTTTATGTAAGGCTGAGACATTTTCTGTGTCTGTCTTTATTTTAGTTTTCACGGTGTCCACTGTGTTGATGGAGTCAAAGATTAATGAGAATAAATATTGACACACATGACCATCAGTACGGAACATCAAGTCCTTTATTTGCGAAGAAAACCAGGTTAGCTACAGTTTGGGGGTCCGTCGCCTTCTTGTCTCTATGGATATGTCTAGGGGTGTGCAAAAATATTCGGATATTGACATATCGTATCGCTTAATGTGATGATACAGTATCGATATCGTGGGCTGCTGTATCGATATATCACCAAAAGTATTTTTTTGTATATTTTACAAAATTATTTTGTTATTTTTTTATGCGACACATTTGACATTTTCACTGTTTTGATGAATAAAATGTTTGTGTTTCATATGAACTTTGCACAAAAAGTGGTTTAACAAAGACTTTTAGTATCACAGACATGATTTAGTCTTTATTTTTATTGAACTGTATTGAATCGATTTGAAATATATCATATTGAACCGAAAGCTCATTGTATCGAGATATGTATCGTATCATGGCCTATGTATCATGGTATGTATCGTATCGGCAACTTCATAATGATACCCAGCCCTAGATATGTCATTGTTCTACCTGGAATGTTCCACAGTATGACATTAAACAGCTCTACCTTACATTTATTAAATTTTATGTGGTTTTACAGTTCAGAAATACAGAGAAAAACAGGCATTCTCACTGTGAGTGGGGTCGCCTCTCCACAGATCTGACCTGTAACTTGGTCTGGTTTGGTCTCCATGAAGATAGAAAGGTTTAATATCACACTGGCCACATTTACATTATGTTTTTTTTTTTAGTCTGAATCAATTATTCTGAATTAAATAGTTCAGAATTAAAATATTCTCCTTCGAGTTTACATGGAAATAATAATTCCAAATTGAGGTTTGCATGGAAAACACGTTAAATCGCCTTTATTTAATTACGCTTAACGTTTGCGGGCGGGAAGGGTTCTGATTGGACACGGATACGAATGTATTTACGTCGATCGGAAGAAAACACACACTTCAGCTGCTACCGGCTTTTTGTCACCTCAGTTTATCGTTACACCACAGACACAAACATGATCCAAACTTTTTTCTGAGTGGTTCCGATGATAATGAAGCAGCAGCTGGAGAATTCTCTCATCACGCTTTACGTCTGTCAGCTGAGGAGGAGAAGGGAAGAGTGTCGGAGAAGGGAGGAAGAAGACAAACTGAGTCAATGGCTGCTCTACCTCAGCCCACTCCTGCATCCCGTTCACAAATCCAAAGACCAGTAATGAAAGTGTACTTATTAAAAAAAACTGTTTCGGCTTGAGACCAAAGCTCGCGCTGGGTCACCATCTTGCAGTGTGTCATTGTGTCAGAAGGGCGACCCAACGAGCATGAGCTGAACAACTGGAAATATTTTTAAGAAGAATAAATGTTAACATGATCAAGGAATAAATTAATTCAGCTCTAAAATCTGAATAAACCAAACCTAAATATTCATTAGGAATTAAGTGTTTACATGGTCTTTTTTTTAAAGTGGAATACATTTTTATTCTGAATTGAATTATTTTTAAGCGGAATTAAAGCTCATGTGTAAACATGGCAAATGTGAAACATTCCTGACAAAGCAATAGCATCTCCATGGAGAAAAGCATTTGACAAACCCTCCACTAGAAAAGTTACATAATGCACCCAAGTCACCTTAGAATGCTGTTACATAATCAAAAACATACCTGGAATTGTTGGATGAAGCAAGAGAGGTAGAGCGCTTCACTGGGTCTTAAAAGAGTAAAAAATAGCAGTACAGGTGCTCTATGGGGGTTAAAACAGTGGTCTTTGAACAGAAAATTACCCTTACTGGAAAATGTAAGAATGGGTAAGGTACAAACCTGAGGCACTCCGACTGAATATATTAAAAGTCCTTTATTACATGAAGGGACGCCAACGTATTTCGACCAGCAAGATGGTCTTCATCAGGGCAAAGTAGCAAAAACAAGACACACCGGGTGTCAATAACTACAATCAATTAATCACATGACAACCTCACATGACAAAAGGAAAAAAACAGCGAACAAACCCCAAAACAAGAAAAGGTTGGCCAACCATCAACTTATATATTCCTCATGGTTGGTTAACCTTTTCTTGTTTTGGACTTTTAATATATTCAGTCAGAGAGCCTCGGGTTTGTATCTTACCCATTTTTACATTTTCCTGTAAGGGTAATTTTCTGTTCTAATATGTGGAATTGTGTTTTGTTTCATTCACACATTGTATTATTATATGGATATCTACATCTCCAAAAGCTCAAAATGTTCTGTTCCACCTTGTGATGTCATGACGTGGTAGTTTTCAAGTCAACAGCTTCAGTTCTTCTCTCAAACAGAACCACCTTGTGCTCCATTGTTTTGTTTGTTTTTTTAAATTCCATACATACTTCACTAGAATCATTTGGATAATTTCAGCCCTGGAATTGTCAATCTACATGACATCACGAGGTGGAACAGAGTATGTTAAAGGTTGTATGGAGGATTTTTTTTGTTGTTTCAAATTGTCAATGAAAGTTTAAAATACAATTACAGAGACGCAGCAGCTTTAGAATTATGACCAAAAAAAAAAAAAAAAAGAATGAAAATCTATCAACTGTGGACGTGTTGAGGCCAGATAAACATCAGCCAATAGAAAACGAGGCTCCCTCTTTTTCTGTTGGTTGTTTGGTTGTCAATCAATCTCCCTACGTTTCTAGTGTAACTGACTCGCGGTGAGCTTCTTAGAGGCTTTTTCAGACTGTCGCTTCCTCGCATTTCGCGCAAAGTTTGTCGCGATGACGGACGAGAATCCACGTCCAGTTCGCCGCCAAAGAAAGTCGGTTTTTGAGGTCGCTGAAAGACGAAGACAAGGGGAAAAGGAGCGAAGACAAACTGAGGTGATTCTTGGAGATCTCTTCCAGCGATTGCGCGAATGAAGCAGACAAAGGGTCTAAAAACTGATGCGTCGGTCGCTAAAATATTTCTAGACAGGTCACTTCAACAGTAATTCTGAACGCACGCTGGCTGTAAACAAGCGTGATTTCTAGAGTAAAGAGGCGGGAGGAGATGTTTCTACTGAGGGAGCTGTGGAGGAGGAAGGTTGTGTCACTCATGCACAACATTTGAAAAAAGGACTGTCGCTGTATTTCTCTTCCCTTAAAAAAAATCCTCTATACAACCTTTAAGCTTTGGAGATGTAGACTAATAATACAGGATTACTCAAACGTGTGAATGAAACAAAACACAACTCCAGGTCTGTTTTTGATGAGGTACCAACATTCTAGCGCGGCTTAAAACTCACAAGAGTCATTTATGTAATATAGACCCTTGAAATAATATCATCATATATACATAGTTGAGGTGAAAGCTGACAGCATCACAGCTAAACTGCTTTCATCCGAACTTTCTGTGAAGTGTTTTTGTTGATGTTTGCACACTCATCCAGACAGTGACCCACTTATGAAGGAGCAGGTCTCATCTTCGATTCCGTCTGAACTGCACCATCTGACGCTCCACACCTCGCACAGAGCTCACCGCTGTTCTGCTGGGTCCTGTTCACTCACTGAGAGGGAGTAATGGTAATGGACGCCAATGGAGGGTTACGTAAGACAAGAGCTGTTAAAATACATGGATAGTACATGGAAAATACTGCATCTCTCGTGTTTTGTTCAGCATGGCAAGTGCATTTAAAGGTCCTTTATTACGCAAAACCTTATAAGCCTTAAGCCATGTTATAATCACTGTTGGGCAAGTTACTTTAAAACTGTAATGTGTTATTTATTACTTATTACTGTCATTTCAAAGTAATTCGTTACATTACAATATTACTGCATTTAAAATGTAAGGCATTACATTACTATTGCATTACTTTAAGTTACTCTCACCAAAATAACTGTGAAAAAGCTGAACTTTTGAGCCGTATATGGACTGAACCAGGACTAAACAAGGTCTAAACCAGGACTAAACCAGAGCTGAACCAGGACTAAACCAGGACTATAACAGGACTAACCTCAGACTGATTCCAGGACTGAAGAGGAGGACTAAACCAGAACTGAACTAGGACTAAAACAGGACTCACTGTAGGGACGGGCTCGAAGGTGACGCAGGAGAAAGGACCGGCTTTGCTCCGCACCTCACGGAGGTAAGAGCGGCTGTCACCCGATCGCGCTTTATGGACCCTGCTGTGGGGGCTCGCGGTCCTGATTTCAGCAACTATTTGCGGGTACAAGACCCGGTGCAAAACTCTGCTACAGCGCGTAACAATGGTTTGCATCGTCCTCTGTCTGTTGGGTGTGAGCGCAGGAGCCTTTGTCAGTGCAGAATGTTTCGTCGACGTTGTGGATTTTGTCGGAGAGAAAACTTGCAGACATACAGCACTTCAGAATCACGCTGCTAGAGATTGAACATTTATTTAAATTTGGCAGCTGAACACATTCTGTACTGTACTGTACAGGAGACAGGAGTCCCTTGGTGAGTCAGGACACAGCGGGAGGAACGCAATACGTGTTCATACACTAAAAACAAAAGGCATGCAAAATTGCACACAAAAAAAATAAAAAAAAATCAGCGAAACAGAGAGACCGTGAAAAGTGAACCGCGCTAGAGCGAGAGACGACTGTAAACCAGGTCTAAACCAGAAGTGACCCAGGTCTAAACCAGGTCTAAACCAGGTCTAAACAGCGTAGAGTTCTGGGTCGGTCCTTTCGCCCGCGGTTAACTGAAGGTCTATCCGGCCGCGTCTCCGGCGTTTCACCGCTGCTGATTTTAGCGAATTTCTATGAAGAAAAACCCACCACTTCAATCCAGGTTAAAAAAGCATTGTAACGCGCGTTACATTTGTACCGAGTAAAATATTAAAAATGTTTTCCCCCTGTAATGCCTTACATTACTGCGTTACAGCAAAAATCAACGCATTACTGTAATACATTACTTTTATAATGCGTTACTCCCAACACTGGTTATAATGTTACCTAATCAAAAAGTGCTTTGCTTCTTTCACACGTTTTATTATATTTCAAGTCTGTCTGTATCTCCAGAGCACAAAATGGTCTGCCTGCACTTCATGATGTCATGCAGAGGTAGTTTTCAAGGTAACAGCTCCTTCTACCTTCAGTTCAGTAGAGATTTGCAGTTCATTGGCTAAAATTATCCAAATAATTCTACTGAAGGACGATGTATTGTTTTAAAACACAGTGGACAGCTTCCTGTTTTACACAAGTTTGAAAGAAGAATTTAGTCTAAATATGCAGGATTTGTGTGTTAAAGATGTGTGAATGAAACAAAACACAACTCCAGGTCTGTTTGTGATGAGGAAATATTATAACATGGATCAGAAAATAGCGGAGTATTGGCCCTTTAACAACTTTGTAGATCGAAGAGGGAAATTATTTCAATAAGTCTTTCTATATATATTTCCTTGCTACCTTATTTTTCAGATTATAAGGTGTATTAAGCGAAACAAATGAACGACACTTGAGACTGATCCCTTAGCCCAGGCGTCCACGATCCATCGGCAGAACGTGGAGTAATTCGCCCGGCCTTGTCTCCCTGTCTTGGTGAATGTGGGTGGATAGTTTAAGTTTGTTTTTTATATTTCCTACAAAAATGACTCAAATATACATTGAGTAATAATGTGTTTAATGCAGCTTTGTGCACATTTGTTTACGTTTTACAGAAACAAAACTTAAAACCACATGGCTAATTTGCATAAACTACAGTATAAGCGCTGAAAAAAAATAGGTCACTCCTTGTGCCCTGATGCGGTTCAGCTTCTGTCAGAATAAGGACTCCACGAGGCTCCTGTCTACAGTAGCTGTAATGCTCCGACAATCCATCAAGCGGTGCGGCTTCGTAACTTACCAAAGTCGTACTAAAACATTTTGATAGATTTTTGAGCACCGTGTACCACATAAAATGTTTTCGAGGTCAGTAACCACAACCAGAATTAATACATAAGGCGCACCGAATTATAAGGCACACTGTCGATTTTTGAGAAAATTCAAAGATTTTAAGTGCGCCTTATAGTCCGAAAAATACGGTAATTAAAACCATTAATGATATTGGTAGAAGGTCCTTTTCATTGTGCTCGCAGAGTCTGCTCTACCAGCCTCTCTCTATGACAAACCGATGAAAACAGGCTATAAATCTGAAACTTGTAAATTCAAATCTCAAGTTCACATATTTTTAATGATTTCTGCTCTTTTACTGTAGACTTTCTTTGAGCCTCGTTGCCCAGGGCGAACTTCATTACAGACTGTTCAAAACACTTTCAACTTTAAGCCTGGACTTTTCTATGAGGGCTATTGATTCACCCTCACAACCTGAACCATAGGACTCCACATCTACTCGTGTCTCGTTCATTTGGAGAAGCACTGAAATCGTGAACTGTGCTGTACGAACTGATCAAAAATGAAAAACCTATTTAAAGAGTTTCACCAGTTACAATATTAAAGCTGCACTGAGTAACTGTGTTGGTAGAGAGTCTGTCAAATGTTTTTCTCCATGGAGATGTTATTGCTTTGTCTGCAATGTTCTCAGTTTGCAGTATTAAACCTTTCTAACTTCATGGAGACCAAACCAGTTCAAGTTACAGGTCAGATCTGTGGAGAGGCGACCCCGCTCACAGTCAGAATGTCTGTTTTTCTAGATATTTTTGAGCAATAAAACCACCTGTAATTGAATAAATTTAAGGTAGAGCTGTTTAATGTCACACTGTGGAACATTCCACTCAGAACAATGACATATCCATAGAAACAAATAGGTGAAAAGTTACACAATGCGCCATTATATTCATTTTTCTGAGACCAGTACAAAAGCAGTAATCAAAGAAAAACATTAAAGATGCACTATGCAACTTTTCTGCCACCTGCTTGTCTCCATGGAGATGTTATTGCTTTGTCTGGAAGGTTCCATGGTATGACATTAAACCATCCATCTAGTATTTATTC